TTACAGATAAACTTCAGCAGAGGTGCGAGGTTTGTGTGCTGACTAGTTTAGCTGCTTCTTAAGAATTGATCTGTATTCTCGATACTGCAGTTTAGAGAGGGGCAGGGGAGCAGCAGATATTTAGCCTTTAAATGAGACACCACCTTGCTTTGAACTAAAGAGTTTTTGACAGGGTAAATAGTCTTTATTACACAACAACTAAGAAATTTAGCCAAAGTAACTTATAGACTTTTCATGAAGGCCCTAAAGAATCAAATCAACTTAACTTGCAAACAGGGCATCTGATGACGGATTTAAGTGGTCAGCGTTTCGAGGCATAATGAGTGTATTATGTCCTACAGTAACCTCTGATAGGCTATATAAATGCATAATAAATGCATGACCATGAAAGAGTGTACTTATTAGTTTATTGTTTGAATGTTGGGACAAACCAAGCTGATTGTCGGCTGATGGGCAGCATTGGGATATCAGATGGTCTGTCTAGCTGGTTTGCTGTATTCCACATTTCGCCTCTCATCGGGTCGAGTTGGCCTGATTCCGCATGTAGAATTGGTATCAGCTGAAGGGAGAGCTCTGATTTGGTATTCATCAATGAATTGAAGTGCAAAATCAAAAACTGAAGTGACATATCCAAGTTAACGATTCAAGTCAAGAAGGAAAACAAAGAGCCCAGCTGTAATTGTGCCACATTTCTCAAATATTTACAAACTTTATGGATTATCAGAATATCATAAATATTTGCATGAATAAATTCTTCTGTGGTAAGTGACACGTATTGTGATGATAGCACTAAATGCTGCTTTGTTGACTTTTTCTCTGTGCACATTTCATTTTTTTTTTAGTTTCCCTTAGTGGAATAAACAGAATACTGCCATCTGTGTGTGCAGAAAGACACCTTGTCTCACACAGACACAGAATGTGAACTCTTAAGGCTGATTCATTCTTCTGCATCAAGCGCACGCGTATGGTCTGGTGCAGATCACATACCCCTTGCCTTGGCTAATGCCGACACTAACGCGCACCTCTTCAAAAATTGTAACTACAAGTTGCAATGATGCGTAGCACAAGCTCTGTGATTGGTTGGCTTGGTAGCGCTGACAAGTGTGGGCATGGCCAAGAGCAGTGCTAACCCATTGGAGCGATTGTTTACAAGTGTTGAGTCCTGTAAAGGAGCTCCAGATGGAAACTTCTTGTTTTGTGTTTAGCTTATGATTAAAGTTGTTGCACGTCCGCCAGTTCCAGCCTCAGAATGACTGAGTTTTAGCTACTTATACATTAAGGTCTTACACAGAGGAACATAAAAACCAACTGCCAGCTAGCGTTTTAGAAGTGTTATTGCAGAGTAATGCAAACAGCAAGCAGAGATATAATTGCACAGCAACGTACAAGGCAGGCTCCGTGGGTCACTCTGATCACTCAACAAAGTAGTATAAACCAGGCTTTATTTCAGTCAGCTGCCATCCATTTGGTGTGTTTACAAGCAGCTTTTTGTTTGTTTTCATCTGCTTTTTTGTGCAGCCAGTTTTTGTGCAGCCACCTTTGTCTGTTACACCCATTACAGGTCTTTCAGTCTCTCTAAGTCAAGTGTGTTTGGTTAAGGAGATATAGAAAATGTGCAGAGCTTGTGGTTGAGAAACACTGCTTTAGATCTTCCAGTTTCAGACTGCATACTGAATATTTTCTACCATAGCTTTCTGAGTGTGATCACAATGGTATGTACTGCTATGGGATGGTCAAATGTATATTTATATTACCTACTATTATAACTATTAATATTAAAAGGCATCTAGTTTACCCGTTTTTTAAGATTTAATATTAATATTATGGTTCATCTGAGTGTGCCAGTTTAGGTTCAGTTCAAACACAATTCAGATTTTTAATTATTATGTGTTAAAAAAAAGTGTCATTTTGGGGGTGTGTACACAGGTCGCTGTTTTAGAGGTGTGTTGCTTCACATAAAAATTACTTACCGCTTTGTGTATGGCAACAGTCAGGCAGACAGAGAGAAGCAAGATGAGTGAGAGGACCAGCGTTCAGCCATACATGTACGACTCGGACACAGACCAAGCAGAGATGAATGTTGAGGAATCAATATTCCTTGTGTGCCGAAGTGGTAGTTAAAAAATCATTTGTGTCTTTGTATTGTTTTACAGCCGCAACATAACGTTGCATGCGATATCCGTATAGGGATGTAATGATTAACCGATTTCACTATTAACCGCACTTTAATTTGTCATGGTTAATTAATCATAAAGGCTTCTTAACAGCTTCTTTGCACTGAACAAAACTGCGGTAACTAAACAAAGTTATCCCAACTGTGTGCTAGTTTAAAGTTCCGAGCTTGTAAACCGAGACTAATAACCACGCACTCTGGATTAACTTTGACTGAGGCTATAACTAAGGCAACTTTGTTTTTTTCCAATGGAGGAACGTGCATGTAAGGGAAACCCGCTCACACTTTCCAGCCGCACCTAGTTGAGATGACAGGGAGCTTCTGTGACCACGGGAAATGCAAATGGCTGAAGTTTAAGGAAGATACAATGAAAAGTAGACATGATTGCAATCCCACCTAAAGTTACAAACAATGGCACCGATGAGAGACATCATGTGATGAGCGTTGATACGGTAGTGAAGATCAGTCGAGTGTGTTTTTTGCAACCCAAGCTCATTCTGGAAACGTAGCCCCACGGACGTTTCTGGAGACCGCGATTTACGTCGCCGGAGGTACGTAAAGGCCGCGTTTGTTTTTTTTTGAGCGAACGCCGAGGGGTGGTGTGGCGCCGCTCCGCCCCTCCTCTTCGCGCTCGCCGGCCGACGGCTCGCCTCCGAGTGGAGGGCTTTCCCGACGCAATCAGTTTGTCCGCCTAGCTCACAGCGTTGCGTCGGCGGAGGGGAGGCTCCGGAGGAGGAGGACGAGCCGGAGCCAGCCGCGGTGGACGACGACCGGGATCGAGTCCGGGGAACGGCGGGTTCCGGAAATCAGGTAAGACGAAAAACGGAATCCGGAAAATAAGGGCGAGAATGCGGCGGGATCCGAAAACGCGGTCGAAATCGAAGACGGGGGCTTTTGCTTTTTTTATTTTTTTTTCGATCCGGCGGCTATTCGCGCGAGAACGGCGCGGGCGCGAACGCCGCGCGCTCCCGAGAGGCGCCCGCGCGAGAAGCGAAAAAGCGCGCAGAGTGGCCTCTCGCGGATCCGCGAAAACAAAAAAACGCTCGAATACGTACCTCCCGGGACGTAAATCGCGGTCCGCAGAAACGTCCGCGGGGCTACGTTTCCACAATGAGCCCGGGTTGGTTTTTTGAGAGAGTGCTGAAAGACTCTGTGGATCAGCTGTTTTCAATATTCCGAATCTTGATACGTTGCATTCACTGAGTGTTAAGCGCAAATGGTCTCTAAATGTAAAATCTCTGTTGCTCTGTCGCCTATCAATTAATATTGGTAGGTGGGGGGACCGCACTCCTACGTCAGGTTACGGTCAGTCTCAAAAGTTGCTCCAGTTGGCCCACTATTTATATGTTGTTAAATTTAAAAAAAGGAACTGGGTTTGTTTATATCAACCCAATATGACAGTATATACAATATATCTACACAAATGTCTGTCCAAACAGCTTGAAAAGTATATTTTTCACCATAGTTGCCCTTTAAAGATCCAGATCAGAACAAACTCTCACTATTGAACCCCTCCCCCCTCCAAAAAAAAAAAAAACATCTTGTTTTGACATCCTTTAGGTGGAATCATGTGTTATGTAACTCAGGTAATTTGCACCCTGATGTGCTCTGAACCAGATGTCTTTACACTTGCTCCCGGGGACCCAGTATCCTGCAGGTTTAGCTCCAACACTAATAAAGCACACCTGAAGCAGCTAATCAAGATGTTGAGGATCATTTGAAAATAAATAAATAAATAAACAGGCAGGTGTGATGAAAAAGGTTGGAAATAAATTTTGCTGGGCAGTGAGTCCTGATTAGCAGAGTTGAAGACCTTTGCTCTCTACAATAATAATTGCAATTTGGTTTTAGGCATACGGTGATAACCGTTTTCAAGGTATACCACGGTTTAGAAAAGTCAAGTTTTAAAACCACCAAAATTTTGTTATACCGTTCCTACAGTGTAAGATGTTTTGATTTTATAATAACATTATCTCCAGCAGAAAAGATCTCCAAAGATGCCGTCTTAAATTGTAAAAATTGTAATAAAGACAACAGATGTCAATGATTCAATTTAATTATTCAGCCTTACATGTTTACTGTGTTTGTGTTCAAAGGGGACAATCTTTTAGTTTTTTCTTCCCCGGACAGTAAAAAAAAAAAAAAAAAAAAAAAAAATATATATATATATATATATATATATATATATATATATATATATATATATATATATATATATATATATATATATATATATATATATTTTTTTTTTTTTTTTTTTTTTTTTTTTTTACTGTCTGGGGAAGAAAAAACACATGTTGTAGACACGTGTATGTCTTTTTGAACTATATCTCATTCACAATGGCTAATAATCTGCTTTTCAAGTTTGAAGGTAAGTCACCTTTTCCAGGTACAAAAAAATCTATCAGATACACCCCTCACCCCCCGCCACACACACACACCAAAATAAACAAAAATAAAAAGATGCAGAGCTAAAGAATGCCTGTTAAGCCTAACCTTTATCTCGATTGCAAAATCAGATGGCCAGACAGTGATTAATCTTTCAGAATTGTTAAAGTACTGGTATCCAGTAAACCTTGACCCTTAGAGCTTTAGTGTACACTCTGAGTTTTTAAAAGTTTAGCCGAAATGCTCAGATATACTTAAAGCGATATCATAGAACAAATTTGTGTGACAATGTATTTTTTATTTAATATGCTGACATTTCATTTCAGACAATGACATAGTATTCACACTTTGCATGAGTAGAGGTTTGGACTTTGGAGGTTTGGAATTGTATTTTCTGTCACAAAAAGTAGACTAAAGCACTCTTTTTGTCTCATGTCAGGTGGATCACCGAAGAGTGGGAACATTGTACTAAAACATGTGGAAGCTTGGGATATCAAATCCGTACTGTGCGCTGTGTCCAGTTTCTTCATGAGGGCACAAACCGCTCCATTCACAGCAAGTACTGCAATGGGGAAAAGCCTGAGATGAGGAGGGCATGTAACAGAGTTGCCTGCCCAGCCCAGTGGAGGACCGGGGCCTGGTCAGAGGTATTCTTTTCTCAGCTCTCAATAAATACACAGCAGTGATTCTCACAGTTCTGTGTGTAGTATTTTGCAACAGAGAGTAGATTTCAATTATATCTTACAAAGCTCAGCGGAAAGAATTACTCTGCAAGCAATTTTAGTACAATTGGACTTGAAATCAATGTGAAATTGGTCTCATTTGTAGAATGTATTTACCACATCCGTAGATTTATTTATTTATTTTTCCTGAGAAAAAAAAACAGACTAGGACTTGTCACTTTAGTTTTTGCTTTTTGCTTTGAAATTAGAGTCATTCTCTCACACTGATCATGTTTAAGCAAAGTCTTTTCTTTTAATGATTTGACAATTCCTGCAGAGAGATTGTTTGATAACTGTGACCTCATTAACCAGCTATGTCAGAATCTGAAATCAGACATTTTCTTTAGTTTGCCAAGATCGTCATCTTGGAATTAAAAGGTTCTTTCTTGTGTTCTAGATGATTTTGAGATATTGAGCTTCAAAGTTTTTGCATTCCATATAGCGAAGAATATGCGTATCACTGTTCTCTTTTACACATTAACATAACAAAGACCCTAAATGTACCCTAAATTATCAAAGTTCTCTTAAATTTGCAAATTGAGGTTAAAAACACAGTAAATGCAGATAGAACCTTATTCTAAAAAGTCATTTTTCACTTGGAATTATAAGGTTTTATCTGGCAGATTATTAATTGATTGTATTTTCAAGAAATGCAATCAGTCTGCTTAATAAGTTAATTAAAAATAAATAACAATTGGTGTTGTAACAATATTTTGATGTTTGAGAAAGTTACATTTTTGTTTTCCTAACATTTATTTAATGTTTAAGGATTAATATTTTTCTTGGTCGAATTAAACCTTCATGGTTTCACTAAATAGTTTTTCCAGTGCAGATGTTAATTTTATGTAATTAGTATGGTAATATTTATTAAATTATGCCCTTTATATGAACTATTCATTTATATTTATAGAATTATATGTCCCATGAATTAAGTATTTGCCCTTCAAGGCTTAATATCAAATTTAAAGACTTTAAAAACATACGATAAGCAAATGAGTTTAATAAACACTGAAAATGTTTTACTGAGTATATATACACAAATAAATATAGTTTACATTTAATATATTACATTTGTTATATAACTGTTTCTTTTTCAAACAATGTAAAATTTAACATTTCATCTCAATGTCAAAAAAATGGTTCTAAATCATCACAATTACAAACATCTTTTCAGTTCTTCTCAATCTTGTGAGGTGCAGCATTATTTAATCGGCTCTAATTTTGTGTTTTTTTTCTGGTCTTTCCTGCTGTCAACAAAGCGATATGGTGAATTGACAAAGAAAAGCTGATTCTAACTGGTCCTCGTGTGTGCATTGGAAATGCTGACTGGCTTACAGAAAAAACCTTATAGAGCCAAGCTAGAATTCAACTTTGTAAATAAAACGTATTTAAATTAGAAAATCTTAAAATATAAACAGCTTAAAAAACATCACACAATTTTGACAAAAATGTCAGATAGACCCCTATAATTCTAAGGTGACGAGATGTCTATAAAAACTATATTTAGTAACCGTAAATACTAGGTCCAATTTGTCTGTCTGCCTGTCTGTCTGTCTATCTATCTTATTTTTGAAAAATAATTATTATTATTTTCCATTTAATTTATAAAGTTTGAATTATAAAAAAAACATGCAAAAACTATTTATTTTAAAGTAAAAATCTCACACTTTGGCTTGTGCTATTAAAAAATGTCTGGTAACGGTCTCTTTTGTGGATATTGTCAAATCTTGGCAAATGTTTTAATGACTGCTTTTGGAAGTGGTTGCACATGGCCAATCTCTAAACATTTTAGAACCCATTTACACCTGTTTTCTTCTTATTATTGGATTGACAAAAATGCATTTCAATTCCAGTTGTAAGTGGGTCTTTTGAAACCATGTGTTTTTAAAACCATTTGAGCTTTTCTGTTTGTTTCTTTTTTTATTTAGTGTTCAGTGTCCTGTGGAGAAGGTGTGTCACGACGCCTGGTCACTTGTCGCATTGGAGATCAATGTACTGGTGAGAAGCCCGAGTCGCAAAAGCCTTGCAGGCCAAGACCCTGCCATGGTAAGATTCAGAGAAGGCAATTGTTATTAATAGGAAGTGCATCACCACAAGGACAACAATCAACACTCATCAAGCAATTTTATGGGGTCTTGAACGGTTAAAGTGTCTAAGTTGTTTATTCAACAAAAGAAAGTCCATTAAAAGAGAACGGAAAATATTGCACAATGCACAAATTCATCTGCATTGATTAGATTATTCATGGTAGTCTTAACCTCAGTTAATTTTCCGGAATGCTTTTGTGGTCTGTGAACTCCTCAACTGCTCTCTGGAGAAGCGTGTTAACTCATCTATTTAGACAAGCAATACGTATTAAAAAGTTATTAATTAGGTCACGTAATGCCTATAAGCTTGAGATTCTGGCAACGTTTGTTATTCGTAGTTCTCTCATTTTCACTCAATCCTTCGCTTTTTTAAAACAAACCCCATATGCTAAAAATTGAACGTTTGAATGTGTTTTGCACAGCATTTTCTTTTTCTACTGATTTGCAGTGCCCACGGCACAGAAAAACACTGTTTCTTAGCAAACATTAATACCCAACTTTGTTCAGAGAACTGGATTTTTCTCAAGTCATTCATGAGTAATGCTCAGCTGGTCAGTTTTATTTGTTAGAACACACCGTGCCTTGAGCCAAGTGATAAGAGTGAGAAATTTGGAATGAATCTCAGCAGACGTCATTGTGAACACAGCTTCCTTTATGCCTCTGCTTGCATGATGCTTCCACTAATTTCTGTTTAATAGCTTTTGCTGCACTTGGATGACATCCATCACAGCGGAAGATTAACAAAACACACACCCTTTACAAAAGGCAATCTTGCTGTACACTGCTTAACTTTTCAGCTGTGTATAAAGCAAGACTCCTGAGGGAGGTAGAGGCATTTTGTTTCCTTTCATATGTAAAACACTAAGCAGTTGGTGGTTCGCATGGTGACAAATAGTCTGTAATCCAACTTCAAGGACCATAATGACTCTTCCATGACTTCTATTAATTGAAAGTCATTGTGACCTTTTTATTGAGGGCTGCAGGATTTTCTGTTGGGCTTTTGGCTTTGTGTGTGGAATAAGACAGTGAGAGGTGGTATGAACAAATGGGTAAGGTTGAGGGGATCAAGAAATAACAAAAATCCAAGTCACCCACACGTATGTGTCACCAAAAAAATACATATGACTTGACAGACCACATTATGTATGTGAGACCTTTAAGTTTAATACGACCTTCACGCTCACTTACATAACTGTCTTTTAAAAAAACTGCGAGGATTGCTCACCTAAAGAATGACAATTTATTTAACTCTCATGTAGACCCAAACATGAATGACTTTTCTTATTGAAAAATTGCAGTAAACTTTTACATCCCTCCCCCACACAGTCCCTCTCCATCATCCAGTTTATCCTAAACATGAGTCATGCTTTATTATATAAGAACTGTAATGCTACTTGTGTGGTTAAACGTGTTAGAGACGTAGTGTTTCCTTAGTATGCATGCGTTTCACATGTACAGTCAGAATTTTTAGCCCCCTTTGATTTTTCTTTTCTTTTTTAATATTTCCCAAATGATTTTAAACAGAGCAAGGAAATTTTCATAGTATGTCTGATAATATTTTTTCTTCTGGAGAAAGTCTGATTTGTTTTATTTCAGCTAGAATAAAAGCAGTAAAAAAATTAAATATATATATATATATATATATATATATATATATATATATATATATATATATATATATATATATATTAGTTTTTTTTTTTTTAGGTCAAAATTATTAGCCCTCCATATTGTTTTTCGATAGTCTACAGAACAAACCACTGCCATACAATATTTTGCCTAACTACCCTAACCTGCCTAGTTAACCTTAATTAACCTAGTTAAGCCTTTAAATGTCACTTTAAGCTGTATTGAAGTGTCTTGAAAAATATCTAGTCAAATATGATTTACTGTCATAATGGCAAAGATAAAATAAATCAGATATTAGAGATGAGTTATTAAAACTATTATGTTTAGAAATGTGCTAAACAAATCTTCTCTCTGTTAAACAGAAATTGGGGGGGAAAAACAGCGGGGCTAATAATTTAGGGGGGCTAAAAGTTCTGACCAACATCAAACTGCACCCATAAACAGCGCAAAAGTCCAGCATCTTCACATTGGCACACTGTCTTAACTGCAGTTGACTGACATTTGTCCTGGGAGCTCTGTACAAAGGTAGCGGTGCTACTGACACATGCTCAGGAACCCTATGTAATATCTAGTGTATATATCAATGGTAGACTATAAGGTTAGAGTTAGTGTAGTTGACCTACATGGAAAAATTCGTATAGTCTAATACTTTAGTAAATTAGTAGATGTACTAGTACTCTAATAGTAATTTTTGTGTATGTGGATGCAATGCAATTTATAGTCAACAAAAATGTGCAAAATAAAGTATACCTTTGAGCTTCTTATTCTTTTGGTCTTCTTTTTTTAATTATCATAGTTCATGAGCACTAGTCATTCATTGCATAGTTTGTTTTAAATACTACAGTCTCCAGGCTCACTATGTTCCACACACCAGTGTTTAAGCACAAGTACAATTGTTGTCCGGCCAGCTTTTTATAGGGTCCAGAAATAATGATTTATGACAGCACACAGAGCTCTTTATTAGCACTGTTTGCTATTTGCTTTTTGGATCTGAAAGACAATTTCTTATCAGATTTCATAAAAAAAGGACTACCAATGTACCGCCTTGAATATTGTGGTTGAAAATATCAATTAAATGATTCTATTACCATTGTACAATGTTCGTCTGTTTGGCTGCATCTTAAGAGACATAGCTCGTTCTAATATTTTCTAATATTCATGATATACAGATTAATAGTATCTTTTATTTTAAAAAGCTGAATCGTCTTTGAAAAAATGCATATAAAACAGCACTAAATAAAAGCCTTCTGCTTCTCTGACAGATGAGCCGTGCGGAGGAGACAAGTCCATATTCTGTCAGATGGAGGTTCTGGCACGTTATTGCTCGATTCCAGGCTACAACAAGCTCTGCTGTGAATCCTGCAGTAGGAGAAGTGGCACTTTTGCTCCTCTTCTGCACGAAGCTGCGGAAACAGAGGAGGAACTTCGCTTCGGTTCAGCCTCCCAACTTCTGGAGACGCTTTCAGCTGCTGCTAATGGATCTCTGAAAGTCCCGCAGCAGCACCAGCGGGGATCCACGTCGCAAGGCCAATTTTCCAAGCAGGCCGCCACTCCCCCGCCTCGCAAACACAATACAGAGAACAGCAAGACTCAAAAGCGCCTCAAACCCAGCGCTAGAAATCTTCCTGCATTGTCAATCCATAGCTCGTGGAGCGAGGACGGCGTTAAAGATGCACCGATGCAGCTGGAAAGTTTCCAAGAGAGTCAGTGGCCGACAACATCTTCTGAGGTGGAGAGATGAAGGAAAGTTTGTCTCATTTTTCCCCTCTTTGGACTCTCTCTTTCTTTTATTTGTCTGTTGTAGATATAGACCTTTAACATTCATCTTTCCCTTCAGATCATCCTCAAGATATTTAAAAGCAGGAGAGAGTAAAGTGCTGGTTCACTTTGAAATGTTCTCTTTTTCCCCCAGTAGCAGCAGTTGTCTTTAAAACACACTTGTCAGTCACACATAGTTGTGATGGGGAATGTGCCAAAGGAGTTTTCGCGATGAGATCCTCTAAGCAGTCTGGTCTATGGGGGTTTGGTGTTGTGTACAAGCTCTGGTTGTATCAACTTCTTGATCGTAAAAGTTTTATTTTTACCAACTCTAGACATGCTTGACCAATTGATATTTATGAACGTTCCTGTAAATACTGTATATGAAAAAAAGTCAGTATTATTATAATTTTTTTCAAAAATACAAGCTGAGGATATTTTAAAAAGAAGAGATTCAGGAGCATTATTGGTGCTTTTTTATATATTACAAGCGATTTAAGAATTTGATAAGAAATGAAACACTGAAGAACAGTGTGAGCCCAGGAAAATAAAAAGCATTATGTGAAATAGCATTACAATAGCCTTAGAATTTTTACTTTTATTTTTGAAAACATTTAATAAAAGCAGCTTCTCTGCTAGCCATCAGTCAAATCTTAATCCACATGGACTGTGATTTATTTTATTTGTTTACTGTCTTCTTCCTGAAGAATTTATTTACCCCAACTTGTTTTACCATGATGTTAGGGCTTTTCTTTAATGCTTGGCTTTTTGGTTCTATGAATTTATCTTTAGAGAAGAGTTAAGAGTTCAGTCATGATATAGATGGCCCATCACATATACAGCTGGGGAAAGACGATTAAGAATCTACTTGAAAACAGTCTAAGGATTTAACAGTTATGTTTGAGAGAAGGTGGTGGCATAATGGCTCGGTGGTTAGCACTGCCACCTCACAAAAAGAAGGTCACTGGTTTGAGTCCCGACTTTCTGTGTGGAGTTTGCCTGTTCTCCTGGGTGCTCTGGTTTTCCCCCACACTCCAATGACATGCACTATTAGTGCATTGGGTAAAACAAAATTGACCTTGGTGTATGACTGTGTGTGTGTGTGTGTGTGTGTGTGTGTGTGTGTGTGTGTGTGTGTGAATATGAGAGTGTATGAGTGTTTCCCAGTACTGGGTTGCAGCTGGAATGGCATCTACTGTGTAAAACATATGCTGGAATAGTTGGCAGTTCATTCTGCTGTGGCGACCCATGATAAATAAGGGACTAAGTGGAAGGAAAATTAATGAATGAATGTTTGAGAAAAAAATACACAATTCTTGAAAAATATTGATGACATTTCTTCTAAATTTCAAACGAGAATTAAAAATGTACACTCACTAGCCACTTTATTAGGTACACCTTATTCGTACCAGGTTTGACCCCAAGTGTCACCTGGTGACACTTCAGTTGTAACGAGTGGGTATTTGAGGTATTGTTGCTGCCTTTATATCAGCTGGAACCAGTCTGGCCATCTTCCTCTGATCTCTGGCATCAACAAGGAATTTGCACCCACAGAACTGCCGCTCTTTGGGCTATATTTCCTTCTTTTTTTTTGTTCACTATTCTCCATGAACTAAAGAGATGGTTGTGTGTGAAAATCCCAGTAGATCAGTTTCTAAAATCCTCAGACCAGCCCGTCTGGCACTAACAACTATGCCACATTCCAAGTCACTTAAATAACCGTTCCTCCCCATTCTGATGCTTGGTTTGAACTGCAGCAGATCATCTTCACCATCGTTGTATCTCAATATGCGTTCTTTAGTGGTGTTGCGTCCTTGTGTTCTCATGTAACATCAACATCTTCAGCTGCCAAAGTTCAGTTCCAATACTTAAGACCGCAAGAACAGAGGATGCGTGAAAGTTCCCGTATGTGTTCTTGATATCGAGGATGCACTGATGCAAACTTGAGCACCGATCTCACTCTGGAAGTCCCAGAAGTCATTGTGACTGGAGGTGGGAAGCGCAGCATTTTATTTAGATTTATTATTAAAGTTCAGAGATATAACTTATTTACCTCAGGAGTTTCCCTAAATGAGATGGTAAATATAAACATCACCATGGACATCTTAAAAAAGGAGTAAACACATTTATATGTTTTATTTATATTGTGCAATGTATATTTATAATGTTTTTTTAAGCATAGTATATATTTTGAAAAGGGGAAAAACAATAAATCATTGTATGAGTAATGTAATGTTTAAAAAAATAATCCATTTAAAATCTGTAAAGTCACGTTATCATCAGGAAGAACTCAATATCTAATTTCTCACAGCATGTGTTCTCTGTTCTCTCGAGTTTGTTCTTCCAAGAACACCTGGCAAGACCGGTCTCCACAAGAACACAACTCCGTTCTCTGCGTTCTTGGAATTGAGAGACAGCACATGTCTACATGCCTAAATGCATTGAGTTGCTGCCATGTGATTGGCCGAATGTGATTAGCATTAATTTTGCGTTAACGAGTAGTTGGACAGGTGTATCTAATATGGCCAGTGAGTGTAAGTCAACATGACACCTTTAGTGATTTTATTCAAATGTAAAAGATCTACTTGATAGTTTTGTTTGAAATGTGAAAGAAATGTCATCAGTTGTTTTTTTTAGAATAAAACTAAAATTATTTTTTTTTACTCAAACTCATAACTAAAAATAGTAAATCCACAGAAACCTGGCATTTTTCAAGTGGTCTCTTAACAGTTTTTTCCATTAGTTGTATATAGACAAGACTTTGAAAGAGTAAAGCTGGACTTTGTGAAGATCTTATACTGTGAGACACTGCACAAGATATCTCACTTATCTGAGGGAGAGGAAAGCTATTTATTTTTATAATCGAGGGTTATTTCTCAACCACAATGCATCTGACTGCAATACCAAGGAAACCAGTTAATCTGTCAGTGGAGTTCAGATGTTCATAAGGTAAACACACATTCATCTGTGTGCCACTGTTAAGCTATTGTATATACCATTGAGAACTTTTACAGTATTTATTAAGATTCAAAGTTCAACATCATGTCTTTTCTGCAACATTTTCTGTTACTTCAAACCAAAAACACAAGCTTCCATCGAATAAAAACAGTAGCTCATAAAAGTAAACAAACATAGACGTACATAGACTTTTCCTGTTGTTTTTACTGGCATTTTAGCTCTAATAAAACACATGCTCAGTTTTTGAGATGTAATAATAAGGGAACGCTGCTTCACAGCTGTTTTAGAATAGAAGTATTGAAGAGAACTCCCAAAACAAAACTGTCATTTACAGTGACTCTTACTGTCCTTTACCCACAAATTCCCCAATCCTACACGAAACTGTTTTCCAGTTCATTCGTAGCTTTAACTTTAAAAGACAAAATTTTAGTGGATTTTGAACCTAGAGTAGACAATAGGCATACAGACAGCATACTTTTTCTGTGAACATCATTCAATCAGTTGAATCTGAGGCGAACGGCGTGTGCGTTTTCATTTTATTGGCATTCACTTTCTGCAATTTGTTTGCTAAAATAGACGACATGCCTTCAGAGACCCAAAAGAATGCAAGATAGTAGATATTAAATTGACAATCCCTAAGCCGCAGACAGACACCCCATTATAAAAGGATAAATCTATTTATCCTCCCATTTTCATGTCCGTTTAAGTGTTAATTGTTGTTCTGGCTTACAAAGACACTTTCAGTTGCTAAACGCTTGCAGTCATTTCTTTTTTGTTTAGTTTGTACTTTTGTTAGTTGTAATGAAAGTGTACACTACTGAGGCTGTTTGTTGTAATGGGGAGCACATAGCAATAAAGAAAATAATAAACATCATACTGTCTTTTGAGAGTTTTTTTTTTTTTTTGGTCAGATTTAAAGTTATATTCATAATGTTCTTTACAGTGAAACTTTTTATTTTCATATGCTTTAAATATGAAAGGGTCATAAAACCCCTTCTTTCAGTATAAGTCTACCTCAGATTTGTTTCATAAAATGCTTCATGATGGGCGTGGAGTGCTGCAAACAGAAGGAGGAGTGGGGGTGGCCAGCAGAGCAAGGGAAAAAGAGGGGAGCGAACAAATCACAAATTGAGACACAAACCGTGAGGAGACCCCAGAGTTTAAAGTTTACATAGTTAAAATCTAAAAAAATAAATAAATAGTAAGTAATTTAATGCCCTGTACATATGTTATTCATAGTTTCATATACACATGACCACCGTTTGTCATATCATTATAAAGATTTACTTCTTCATAGGACTTCTTTTCTCCTCGACCCCCGGGTCTGAATGCAGACACAATGGATAGCAGTGCAGCAGGTCTTTTGCCCTGTCTATTTCAACCATTAGCCCTGGAGGATTTTAAATAAAAGCGAACACAGCAGCATGGATATAGGCGATGTGTCTGAATGGTAACAAACTCAACTGATAAAAGACAAAAAAATAAATAAATGAAACAAACCAAGACCATGGAAACAAACGTGATCCTTCATCAATGGCAGAATACTGCGCGCTGTGCGCTGACGCAATCTCACAACTTGGCAGATTTGCCTTGCTTTCGGAAAGCATGTGCTCTTATGAATAATTAAGAAGCAGGGTCTTCTCATAGGATAAGAAAACTCAGCTATGATTACTAATGAGAAACCAACACATCATCTCTGGACAGGCAAACAAGAGCTCTGTCACTGAGTTTGATGCCCCAATAATTATTGTTTAAACCTGGAAGATAAAATTAGCTGACAAAAGCTCAAAAGTATTCAGTTTTTCAACAGGTGCTGACGTTGTCTGAAATGACGCTCAACATTTATTTCTAGGGTTTCTTGAACCTTCTAAACCATAACAAATATGTACCCTGGGAAATTAACTCTGTGTGGTTTGCATGTTCTCCCTGTGTTGGCGTGGGTTTTCCTCCGGGTGCTCCGGTTTTCCCCACAGTCCAAAGACATGCACTGTAGGTGAATTGGGTAAGCTATATTGTCCATATTGT